CACAGATTACCTGAGGTCACCTTTATTAAACCAGTCTACATTCACAACAGACTAGCTGAGGTCACTTTTATTAAACAAATCTCAATACGCTACTTATTACCTGAGGTCACCTTAATTAAACCAGTCTTCATACACAACAGATTACCTGAGGTCACCTTTATTAAACCAGTCTGCATACAGAGATTACCTGAGGTCACCTTTATTAAACCACTCTTCATAGACAGATTACCTGAGGTCACTTTAATAAAACAAATCTTAATACACTACAGATCACCTGAGGACCATATTAAACCAGTTTTTATTCAAAACAGATTACATCAGGGCTTTATTAAACCAGTTTTCATACACTACAGATTACCTGATTTCCCCTTCATTCAACCAGTCTTCATATACTACAGGTTACCCGAGGTCACCTCCATTAAACCACTCTCCATACACTACAGATTTATTGAGGTCACCTTTATTAAACAAATCTACATACAGTACAGATTACCTGTGGTCACCTTATAACACCAGTCTTCATCCATAGCAGACTACCTGAAGTCACCATTATTAAACAAATCTCAATACACTAGAGATTACCTGAGGGTACCTTTATAAACCAATCTGCATACACAATAGATTACCTGAGGTCACCTTTATTAAAAAGTCGGCATACACAGATCACCTGAGGTCACCATTATAAAACAAATCTCAATACACTACAGATTACCTGAGGACTTTATTAAACCAATTTTATATTCACAACATATTACATAAGGGCTTTATTAAACCAGTCTTCATACACTACAAATTTCCTGATTTCACCTTAATTAAACCAGTCTTCCTACACACAGATTATTTGAGGTCACCTTTAGTAAATAACTCTCCATAAACTACAGACTACCTGAGGTCACCATTATTAAACAAATCTCAAAACACTACCGATTACCTCAGATCACCTTTATTAGACCAGTCTTCATACACAACAGATTACCTGAGGTCACCTTTATTAAACCAGTCTGCATACACAGATTACCTGAGGTCACCTTTATTGAACAAGTCTTCATAGACAGATTATCTGAGGTCACCTTTATTAAACCTGTCTACATTCACAACAGACTAGCTGAGGTCACCTTTATTAAACAAATTTCAATACGCTACAGATTACCGGATGTCACCTTTATTTAACCAGTCTTTATACACAATAGATTACCTGAGGTCATCTTTATTAAAAAGTATTCATAGACAGATTACCTGAGGTCACCTTTATTAAACAAATCCCAATACAATACAGGTTACCTGTGGACTTTATTAAACCAATTTTATATTCACAACATATTACATAAGGGCTTTATTAAACCAGTCTTCATACACTACAGATTACCTGATTTCATCTTCATTCAACCAGTCTTCATACACTACAGGTTACCTGAGGTCACCTTTATTAAACCACTCTCCATACACTACAGATTAGTTGAGGTCACTTTTATTAAACCAGTCTTCATACACACAGATTATCTGAGGTCACCTTTATTAAACCACTCTCCATACACTACAGATTATCTGAGGTCACCTTTATTAAACCAGTCTTCATACACACAGATTATCTGAGGTCACCTTTATCAAATAAATCTCCATACACAACAGATTACCTGAGGTCACCTTTATTATTTATATAAATGATAAAGTAAATGACATTGCTAATGATATTAGACTTTTTGCAGATGACACCTCTTTTTTTGGTATAGTAGATGATGATCATGTTGTAGCAGCTGCTTCTTTGACTGATGACTTGGATGTTATCTCAAATTGGGCAAAATCATGGGCTGTTCAATTATCTCAAAATAAACTAAAAATATTGTATTTACTAGAAGGGAAAGGGAGCATCCACCTGTATTGTTTTGGGGATAAATGGCAAAGAGGTTGATAAAATAAATATTCAATGTCATCTTGGTATAACATTTCAGTCATCAGGTTCATGGAACACACATATTGATATTATTTATAAAAAAAACATGCTCTCGTCTATCTGTGTTTCGTCAGAAATAGATTACCTTAGCTGTATTTGGCAAAACATTAAGGAATTTTGGTCCTCAATGCTCTTCAACTTCGTACTGTATTTGGCCTATTTAACTTTTTTCGATTCGAGCGTCACTGATGAGTCTTTTGTTGACGAAACGCGCGTCTTGCGTAAGTACAAAATTAATCCTGGTAACTATGATGAGTTTATCGTCAAGTTAAACATTTATTAGATAGGAGTTCACTTATAGGTATTTATTATGCTTTTATTAGACCTATATTAGAGTATGGTGATGTTTTTTATTGGGCAATTGCTCCCTGCAGCACGAGTCTGAGCTTCTTCAAAATATTCAAATAGAAGCTGCTAGAATTATTACAGGATTACGATGTAATTCCTCAAGACAAAAACTTTATATTGAATTAGGTTTGGAGAATAGACGTAATAAACATAAGCTTATACTATTCTATTAAATATTAAATGGGATGACAACTTCCAATTATATCTGACAGTTAGTCCAGCCATATCTTCCCAGACAAACCCCTTATTCTTTGAGGAATGAAAAGTACACTTTTCACCCGCCTCTTGCTAGAACTAGCTCTTATTTTAATAGTTTCATTCCTTCCCCTATAAGACTTTGGAAAAGTCTTCCTTTGAGTTTACAAAAATCCCCAAGTTTGGGTATTTTTAGAAGTGGACTGGACGAGTTTTATAGGACTGATGATATATTTAAACCTTTCAACTATGGGATAAGGAAACTTAATATAAGTCATTGTCAACTCAAAAATAATGCTAGCAACCTAAAACCTCATTTGTTTAATCAGTTCCTATCCGAGAATACTTTTTGTACAAACTGTAATCACCCTGTTGAGGATAACTAACATTTCGTATTTATTTGCCCTAAGTACAATGATGTAAGACAGATCCTACTTGATTCCATTTACTCCATTGCTGATAATGTTGACATAAATATTGAATTTTTACATTTTGCAAACAGATTATTAACATATTATATGAATATTGCTATTTTTAAATCTGTTCAGAAATATATCAGTGACACTCAACGTTTTGTTTGAAATTTACCTAATTTTTGTTTTATTTAGTTTTTTTCTCCTCCTCTTCAACATTAATTCATTTATTCCACTAAGCAAGCTTAGTGTCTCTTTCAAGCCATATATATATATATATATTTCTAATGACTTATAAAGGATATTTGCATGTTTCAAGGTACTTGAATAAATGATGAGTAATTGCCTATATACTTAAATATACTTTACATTTAGTAAGTAACACTGTAAACACATATTTGCTCGTGTGTGCTCATAAGTAGCATGCATGTTCCACTATATTACATTATTTTAAATACAGTTGTTGATAATTGAATTATACCTTGTACATGTAATATGGAGAGAGCTTTTATATGCTGTGCCTGTTGCTCAATCCTTTTCATATCTAAATGAATAAAATATGTTTAATATCAAAGTCACCTTTATTAAACCATTCTTCATACATAAGTTTCGTGAGGACTTTATTAAACCAGTTACCATGCACAACAGATTACCTGAGGTAACCTTTATTAAACCAGTCTTGTGTACTGTCACAGTCTAAATAGAAAGTAGAATAATGTATTTTTAGTGTATTCTATTTTTAGATCATATTATTACTACGCATATGGGGCACTATTTGCAAGATACCTGAGGGCCTACATCAGCGGACCTTTCTTCCACCTGCTTATTACTACAAGGTAAAACCACGTGACCATTTTGGAAAAAATATGTTCTATTTTTAGACCGATTTCCATATGTCGTTTGTGTAATGCGCTTTGGATGAGTACCGCTATTCATTAAGTTAAAGTTAAAATTAAAGTTCAGGTTGTTGTTCATAGTTTTTTGTAATGAAAAAGGGGAACGACAGACAAAAATAAGAAAAAAGTACTAAAACATTTACAGTAATTCGGACATAAGAGGGATATCCCAAAACCACTTGCCGGTTTTTTCTTAGTTTCAAATGGAAGCAGTATTATAATAAATTCGTAAATGATTTCAAGGAACACTGCTTTATCTTAATTGGTCCTGAAGAATAACTCCTATACAAGTTTTATAAAAATTCATGGAGGTTTCCGTTAAGTGTATCGGTTAATGTACAGTCAGTCAACATTTAATTTACGCTTTTACACTGACAGCAGAATTAACCGGCGAGACACAGGGTTAATAAGAATCTTTAATTTATTAATTAATTTACAGCTTCCATTTGAGAACTAAGGAAAAAACGGCAGGACCAAATGGTTTGAGATATGTCCGAATTACTGTAAATTTTTTAGTACTTTTTTTCTTATTTTTGTCTGTCGTTCCTTTTTTTCATACCAAATAACTCGATCTGAACAACAACTTGAACTTTAATTTGAACTTTAACTTAATGGATAGCGGTACTCATCCAAAGCGCATTACACAAACGACACATGGAAATCGGTCTATATTCCAAAATGGTCACGTGGTTTTACCTCGTAGAAGTAATGGGATAACCAAATCAAAGAATGACATGACCACATCAAATACTGAAACAAACACATCATGTAGTGTAAAATCGTCAAATTTTGAAACATCATTACGTAATGTTAAAGCCATAAAAAGAATTGGCAAATCATCATTACGAAATAACAAAACCACATCATGTAATGAAACAACTGCATTACGTCAAGTCACATACACATCAAGTATGTTAAAACCACATTGCCTAATGACACAACCACATTAAATAATGGTGAAACCACATCGAGTAATGACAAAACAATATTAAGTAATGACAAAACTATATCAAGTCAATACGAAACCATATCATGTAATATCGGAATATCATTAAGTAATGACTTTTCCATATTGAGTTATATCAAAACATCATTACGTAATGTCAAAATCATATTATGTAAAGACAAACTATCATCAAGTAATAACAGAACAACATAACGTAATATCAGAGTTCCACATAAGACGCTGTGGCGTTCCATACCTGTAATATGAGAGTATGTCTATATGTTTTAAATAGAAGGAAGTAAATTGGTGGTCTGACACCTATGGAAGATATGATGTTGATGAAACTGCTTGTAATTTTGCTCCGACTAGTGATAACTTTAGGTAAGAAAATTTTAATACTTTTTTTTTGTCACTGCAGAATTAAGTCTACAGCTGACGATATAGAAGTGAAGACTAGTGAATATTATCACAAGCTCAAGAAATGTGATCGCAAGAGGCGAAGATTTGGTGTCATCCCGATTGTCCCACTTTTTGAAATTACAGGTAAAAAAGTTATGAAATTTTGTGGGACAATCGGGAATATGTTTGTGGGACAATTGGGAAGTTTGATGTGGGAATTGTTTTGATAGTGATTAATTTGTTTTTTGTAGTATGTAGCAGTTAATTACAGGTTACTAATCAATGTTACTTATAAAATATAAAATAAGCATGAACAAATAATAATATTTACATATTTGATTTTGCGCGTAATAGTAGCAATTGAAGTATCATCAAAAATAGAATATAATATGATGTCATAAGATATCACATATCAAGCACAATTCGAACTTGATCTGTAACTTGTCATGATAAAACAATACACCAAATATCAAATCAAATACCTTCAAGCACTACGTTAGTAGGAGACTAAAAAGCACAAAAAGCACAAACTTCATCATTCTGCAGACGATCTTTGAGTTCTTGTAGGCGTTGATTGATTTGTGTGTATTGTCTTCTCTTTGTTGGTCGTAACCCCTCCATTTGAATGGGGACATATAGTTGGAATCCCCCCTTTTAAAAATGGCTGGATATGCCCCTGGACACAGTATATGGTTGAAAATTTTATATAGAAACTGACATATGTATGAACTAACAGATATATATGCTATTCATATCGCTGGAATTAATGACTGCTTTAATTATTTAAAATTCCCTGATAGTGAAAAACTATAAATTTAAAATAGTGAGAATAAAACTTGAAAACAATATACAAGCTATTTTCTGTGCATGTTGATTGACATTAGTATACTTTATTTAATTGGTATCAAAGTCAATGAAACTCTGTGTACAAATTGAAGTACTACATGTAAGGGGAAATGTCTAATTTCAATTTTAGACGTAATCGGTTATATATGAGGGTTTGAATGGGGGTCTTCAAATATTTATTTTTTAATTCTTTTTGTGAATAATTTGATTTTCCTTTCTTTCATATTAGCACCATTTACAATCTCTAATCTGTTAAGTTTGAATTAATTGCAGGGCATTTTCTGTATTCTGTAAACCTCACCAGACCCTCATATACTAGCAATTATTCTGACTCAAACAAAATTAATAATTTACCTGAATGGTCAAGTGATTCGATTGGGGAAGGCTCGTGAGCTGGATCATCATCTATTCTACTGATTTTGATAGGGGTAGCATTATATAAATTTGAACTGTTCAATTGTGTCGATTTCCTTGACTCCGACATTTTATGATAAGTGAAAACTACCGCAAAGGGATCGGGATTTCCAATTAGAGGAGGGAAATGATTCCATAAGACTTGAACTCGCAAAGGGTATGAATCAATAACGGAAACAAGACAATACAAGTCGGTATAGCGTTTAGAAGCGAGTCTGCTGCATTTTATGAAAATTGTTCAAAAAATTATAAAGAAAAGTTTTTTGTTTTTATTTTTTTTACCGACGCAACTGCCTCGGTTACCTCAACGTAAGCTACGCCAATGATAAGAACATTTTACTTCATAAAATAATGTGAGACAATCAGAACTTTTCATGTGGGACAATCAGAACTCTAAAATTTAAAAAAATGGGACAATCGGGAATAAACCGAAGACTTAGTGAATATTATCGCAGGCTCAAGCGCAAGAAATGTGAACTCAAGAGGTGAAGACTAGTGAATATTATCGCAGTCTAAAGCGCAAGAAATGTGAACTTAAGAGGTGAAGACTAGTGAATATTATCACAGGCTCAAGAGCAAGAAATGTTAACTTAAGAGGTGAAGACTAGTGAATAGTATCACAGGCTCAAGAGCAAGAAATATGAACTCAAGAGGTGAAGGCAAGTGAATAGTATCGCAGGCTCGAGCGCAAGAAATGTGAACCTAAGAGGTGAAGACTGGTGAATATTATCACAGACTCAAGCACAAGAAGTGAACTCAAGTGGTGAAGACTAGTGAATATTATCACAGACTCAAGCACAAGAAGTGAACTCAAGGGGTGAAGACTAGTGAATATTATCACAGGCTCAAGCGCAAGAAATGTGAACTCAAGAGGCGAAGACTAGTGAATATTATCACAGGCTCAAGAGCAAGACATGTGAACTTAAGAGTTGAAGTGAATATTATCGCAGGCTCAAGAGCAAGAAATGTGAACTTAAGAGGTGAAGACTAGTGAATATTATCGCAGGCTCAAGAGCAAGAAATATGAACTTAAAAGAGGTGAAGGCAAGTGAATAGTATCGCAGGCTCTAACGCAAGAAATGAGAACCCAAGAGGTGAAGACTAGTGAATATTATCACAGACTCAAGCACAAGAAGTGAACTCAAGTGGTGAAGACTAGTGAATATTATCACAGACTCAAGCACAAGAAGTGAACTCAAGGGACGAAGACTAGTGAATATTATCACAGACTCAAGCGCAAGAAGTGAACTCAAGGGGTGAAGACTAGTGAATATTATCACAGACTCAAGAACAAGAAATGTGAAGACGTGTAAATATTATCACAAGATTCAGACTTGTCTTGCTTTTATAGTTTCTTGTTGCTGAATCTTAAGTTATGAGTGAAGTGTTGCCTGGACTAAATTAGCTTTACACAGATTTTCTTTTCGGTCGTTGTAATTTCAGTTGTTCTCCCTTCTCCTTCTTTTTATTTGAGACATAACACTCTATTGACATTTGTTGTGAAGTTTAGATGGATGTTATCTTGAAAACAGTAACGAAAAAGACGAAAATATAAACAGTAAAAATGATAGATATAAATTATGTACCACTGGTTCGATTTTTCATCTCGAGACAGTTGAAAAGTTCCCTTTTTAAACGCGAGGCAAAGGACAAATGAAGTAATGAGATAAAAAGCAATAAAGAGACAAACAATACTAGACTAATTGATATACTATTATTGTTGAATCCATGCGTCTCGTATTTTTGTTGTTGTGAATCAATTCGATATTTTAAAGTTTGATGCAAAATAAAATGAATATTTTTTTTTCTGTAGTTTGTTTTGTACGGAAGCCGGTACGTGTTTTTTTTTTAAATTTTAACTCGTTATAACGAGTTAGCTTAGTTGTTTTAACTGGTTGGCTTGTTCGTTATAACGAGTTAGCTTAGTCGAGTTAGCTTATTCGTTTTAACGAGTTAGCTAAGTCGTTATATAAGTTGTCTTAGTTGTTTTAACGAGTTACTAAGTCGTTATAACGAGCAAGCATAATCGTTTTTACGAGCAAGCTTAGTCGTTATAACATGTTACTAAGTCGTTATAACGAGCTAGCCAAGTCGGTATAACGAGTTAGCTTAGACGTTATAACGAGTTAAAATTTGAAATAAACCATTCCCAATGTATGATGGCATCATTTCTTTCTTGTTTGCATGACTAGTACATTGAGCTTGCTGTCACTGCGATCAATCTTTATTAAGAATGTGATTTTGTTATCTAGTTTACTGTTATGTTAGAGTAAAGTGGGTTTTTTTTTTGCTGCACTAGTTATTTTTTATCGTATGTTCTTTTATGTACGTTTTGTAAATCTTCTGTTTGAGATAAAAAAAAAAAATAGAAAGAAGAGGAGGGTAGACATTTCAAAAAACTGACACATTTGTTTATGTATCTGTCCCAACTCCCGAACCTTGTCAGTAGTTGCCATTATCATATCCTATTATTTCTCGTTATTTTGAAAATTGGGTGTTGATGGAGATCTTAGATTGGTTCTGTTACATTTATTCACAGCAAGTTATGGAACAGCAGGCGATGATATGCAATGTCCAGCAGGTAAGTTTGTATTTCATGCTGAAGAGATATTGATATATCATCATGTTTTTACTTAGATAACTAAAGCGATCCTGGAATTGAAGAAAAAAAATCTTAAAGTGTTGAGTAATTCAAATACACACTGGAAAAGCAGTATTTTTGAAAATAAGTAAATTGTTTTCTGAAGAAAAAAAAATAGATGGCTAAAATCTTTTTCTAGTTATGCTTCATGTAATAATGAAAAAAATAATTTTTCATTTCATAATTTCTAAAAATGATCACATGATATTTCCTTCGTTAAATAAAAGACAAACAGAAGATACCAAGAGGTCATTCAAAACTCATAAGTAGAAGACAAACAGACAACGTAATGGCAAAAAAAAAGGAGAAAAGAGAAACACGTCTACAAATCACAACATACAAAACAAAAGACTGAGCAATACGAACCGTACAAATAAGCCGTTTGGGGAGGTTGATTTCAGTAGCTGCGGAATGATTAACAGATCCTGCAACACAGGTAACACCCATCATGTTGCTCATAGTAAGTAGAAATTCGCGGTGAGATAAGTCTAATTCGTCGATGTCGAAATCGAATAAAAGAGGCCGAGATTGGTATTACGACAATTCGAAAATATTCGTAATCATCTGTGATATATATAGTCCATAACGGTCAACCAACTCGTGATGGTATACGTAAACTTTCAAAGGGATACATTCAACTTTACAACTTGGAAATGTTGGTTCAATTGCTTTCTTGTCAACAGCAACACTCTCAAGGAAATCATAAGAGGAAAGGCAATCTCTGGAATAACAGGGCATACATGTTTAAGACACTAGTAAGATGATGATCATATTTTTTTTTTACTTTTATTGAATTGTTTTTCAATCCCTGGGTCTCGTTTTTGTTGTTGATAATGCTTTTTGTTTTTCTGTAGTGTGTTTTGAGTATTTCATATGATCATTAAAACGTTGTTGTATGAAATATTTTATATTAAGTGTATGATGACATCATTTCTTGTCAGCATGGTTAGTACTTTGAGTTTATTGTCACTGCGACCAATCTTTATTACGGAATAATTTGTGATCAATTTGTTTTTTGTTTATCTAGTATACCGTTTTGTTAGAGTTACGTTTTTTCTATTGTATCTTCTTTAATGTACGTTTTATAAATCTACTGATCGAGATAAAAAAAAAAACTAGTTTAACCCTAACACATTTTTTTATTTCTCGTTATTTTGAGAATGGGTGTTGATGACATATCTTATTTTGTTTCTGTTATATTTATTCACAGCAAGTTATGGTACAGCAGGAGATGATATACAATGTCCAGCAGGTAACTTTGTATTTCATTGTTTTGCTATATGATCATGTTTTTATTAAATAACTAAAGCGATTCTAGATCTGAAGAAAAATTATTTTTTGGTGTTTAGATAATCAAATGCATTGGAAAAGCTCTATTTTTTTACAAAAGAAATTTGATTTCTGAAGTAGAAGAAAAAGATGGTGAACAGCCTCTGTCTGTTTATGTTTCATGAAGTATTGAAAAAATTCATTTTGTTTTTCATAATTTATAAAAATGATCAAATGATACTTCCTTTGTTAAAAAGAGCGACGCGGAAGATACCAAGAAGACATTCAAAACTCATAAGTAAAAGAAAAACACCATGGCAAAAACCGAAAAGATAAAAAAGTCCACAAAGCACAACATAGAGAACTAAAGACTGAGCAACACGCACTTTAAAATAAGCCGGTTTGAGAGGTTGATGTGCTTTGAAAGGATTAACAAATCCTGCTCCACATGTGACCCATGTCATGTCGCTCATAGTAAGTAGAAATTCGGTGATGAGTCTACTTCGTCGATATCGAAATCGAACAAAAGAGGACGAGATTGGGATTACGACAATTGGAATATATCCGTGATCGTCTGTGACGCAAATATTCCATAACGGTCAGCTTACTCGTGATGGCATCCAATAAACTTTCGAAGGACACATTCAACTTTTTAACTTGAAACTGTTGGTTTAATTGCTTTCTTGTCATTAGCAACACTTTCGCATGGAAATCGTGAGAGGAAAGGCAATTTCTGGATTAACAGGGCACTCATGTTTAAGATACTAGCTAGATGAGCATATCACATTTGAATTTTTTTCATTACGAAATAAAATACAATTTCTTGACATAAATTTATTGAAGTGAAATTTCGCACATTTGACTAATGATTAGTGGTCCTGAGTACATTTACACTTGTGATATATGATGATGAAAAACAAATAAAAGAGATGTGGTAGGATGGTTAATGAGACCACTATCCACAAGAGTTCAAAACGACGGCTATGTAAGCAAATATAGATCACCGTACGGGCATCAGAAATAGCGAAACCAATACTGAAATATGTATAGTCAGCTATGATAAAAGGACCGACATTAGAAAACGAACGTTTTGATTTATGCTAAAACAATAAACAAAACACAAGTACAAATGTATGACAGACATCAACCAACGACAAATGAATTGCAGGCTCCTTACTGCGGACAGGCACAAACAGGTTTATTCAAAAAATAAAAAAGTTCTTTTCTTTAATTTTTAATAGGGTTTTAGTTGTTCGAGATTTCATTCGCAAAAAATAATGTAACACGAAGGTTAAAGATATAATCTCATGTAAATTTATCCAATTAAAGATCAATCTTGTTAAATTGTGCAGTTAATTTTTATAATAGATAAGTTTACGGGGACAATGTTTAATGATTGTTTTTACTCACCAGGACAAAAATACAAAAGATTCTGAAATATACTTTATTTTGAAAATCAATAATTATAAATGGTACACTGTTATTTGCAACAAATAAATCATGTGCTCCCACACTAAAGCATCAATCTTACACATCCAACGGATTTAGTTTAAAGACGTACAAACCCATATCGCATAGTCAGTTATATTTATATGTTGATATGGGACCTGCAGATTGTTTGAACATAATAGGTTATCTGATTTTGTCCTAAATCAACTCAGAAGTATACGCAATCAAATTTTGTCAAGGTTTATTTCTAAGCACGAATTGTGATTCACTATCATTTCGATGCTAAAAATACAATTCCTAAAACCAAATTATATCTTTTTCTTTACTTTTATTAAACTGTTTTTCTCTTATCTGAAGGGAAACTAAGTTCCTACAAATTGATAACAAACTATCCACAAAACTCCAAAAAGTGTACTTGTTCAAAAGAAATTGGAAACTATCTGTATCAGGAGAATGTAAAGACTTAAATCTACATGTATAAAACATATAAGTATTCGAAATTGAAAATCATGCCAGACAATTAACATTTTACATGGAATTTTCCCTCATCTGATTTTCTATTTCTTTTTGTGGTATCATTTGAAAAGAGAAGTAACATACTCTAAAGTACTTAAAAACAATATTATTGGACGTCTTATATATGTCATACATTGAAAGAGCACAGTGGAACCTGCTTTCCACTTCAATTATCTCTCCTTAACTAGAATAGATCTAAACTCAAATGAAAAACATGTTTCATCGCCTTAACCGACAAGATAGTGTCGTCTCCCTTTTACTAGAACAAGAATACACATTTATAACGATATGTTTTTGAAGGCCCTTCTTGTGGTATTAGTTTAAAAAAACGCCGAAGGATTATGCATAAAATGCATTTATAAGAGCAGTTTATGTCGGAGTCCAACCTTTTCTCTGATGAGTTCGTTCTGGTTCAGTTATTAAAATGCTTTTTGCTTACCGCTACGTTCAAATATAATATATGCTATAAAGTATAATAAATATAATGAGTCTTTACATTTTCCTGATACAAATACCGGTAGTTTCCACATTCATTTGAACAAGTAAACATTCCTTCAATACTTTTTGGAATTAAATTGAAATTCATGCCAGACACTTAACATAATTTTCACTCATCTAATTTTTTTTTTTCCTTTAGCATTATTTGAAGAGAAGAACACCATATTGTTAATTACTTAAACCTAATTATCGGACGTCTAAATATATTGGTAAAAGACAGTTATCTCCTCTTTATCAGAAAATACCTTAATAAAAGTAACTCAAATAGAAATGTGTCGTCTCCCTTTTAGTAAAAGAACTTGTGTTTTTGTAAGACCTCTTTTGTGGTCATAGCTTAATAAAAGTTGACAGAATATATAGAAAATGCAGTTATAAAAGCAGTTTATGTCGGAGTGAAATTATTTTTTTGGATGTGATCATTTTTCAAATTGGTTTAGTTATTAAAATGCGTTTACTTAACGCTGTTACGTTCAAATATAATTAGAAGAAAAAGGCTTCTACTAGTTGTAAGTCTTTACATTATACTGATACAGCTGGTTTCTTTTTTTCTTTTTAACAATTTAAATGTCCCTTCAACACTTTTTAGAGTTTTTTGAATGATTTGTTATTTAAAGAATGTAAAAAAACATTTATAAAAGAATTAGTATAATTCGATTTGAAGAAATGTATTTTTAGCAACGAAATGATAGCTAATCACAATGCATGTTTAGAAATAAACCTTGACATACTTGGAATAAACTTCTTAGTTTATTTTGGACAAACTATGATAACCTATTATGTTCAATCAATCTGTAGGTCCCAGAATAATGCCATATATAAGGGCTTGTACTTATGACATTGATTGAAACTGCAGCAGACAGTCTCACAATCAGAAATGAATGGAATGTTTATTGTTCTGTATATCTTAGCTTTTGTTTCTTTTGGAACATGTCAATCAGGTAAAAAAAAATTAAATTTGAAATTTAATTTGTAAGACAAATTTGATATAACATGCAAAATATATGAAATGTTAAACTCTACAGTTAAAGTTAACTTACTATTAGTAAAATGATTAAAATGAAAGAAAAAAAACTTCATAATTGCGATGCTTCATAAGTGAATTATGCACAAATAATAATTGTACGACTTTGCCCCCCGCAGAGCTATAGAAAAACAGTATATTAACGGGTGTTACACGGACACTTTTTAGACGATACACGGACACTTTAAGTTGTTATACGGACACTTTTTATGAATAGAATCACTCGTGCATGATCAGTGAGTTCATGGGCACTTTAAATTTCAATTAGATTTGAACTTTTTGTTTCACCGACATATTTCTTGTCTTTTTTATTAAAATATTTACGTTGGCATCAATAACAATATTTTTTTTCAAACAATTCCAGTATATTACTATTCATATCAGTACACGAAGGGATTGACCATTTAACTTCAAAATGGGGGTTATGGTTTTTTCCTAAAAAAATATTCTGATCCCCAATTTTATGAGAAAAAAAATATATTGTGGTCAAGCAGATGACAAAATAATGTTCTGATCCCTGATTTTCCGAATACAGTATATAATGAGGTAATTTCGAAAACAAAAATATTTGGATGATAGCGTTGAAAAACTAAATAATTTTCTTACTCAGAAAAAAAACAAAGCCCCCTTTTGAAGCTAAATGGTCGGTCCGTAAATGTATTTTTTTTCTTCAAAATATGGAAATGAATAGTATTCTGGACAATGCTGAAGGTAAAGAAATGAAGGTATCGACGTTTATATTTCAATAAAATAGACAAGAAATATATATATAAAACATCAAATCTAATCAAAAGATAAAATCCCTATCAACTCACCAATGCACGATTGATCCTATAAATAAAAAGTGTCCGTGTAATACGTGTTCAAATAGGCAGCAAACTTGAAGAAAATCATTCAACATATGTCACCAATTTTGGACGGTAAGCTGCGATTAGATCATATTATGACACGTGTATAATCCTGATCAACACTATCAGAGACATATAAAAACCTATAAGCATGAAAATTTAAAAAAAAATCCTAAATATATGCGTATATATATTTAATAACAAGACGAAATCCATTTTTCAGAACATTTCATTCACTAATGAAATAGGAAATTCATTCTTTTGATACATTTATATTGTTATTGAATTCATATATATTGAATTCATAAATATTGGAATTCATATATATTGAATTCATAAATATTGGAATTCATATATATTGAATTCATAAATATTGGAATTCATATATATTGAATTCATATATTTGGGAGCAAACGTACGATTTTTATTATTTTTTTAAGGGGGAATGTGGGGATGGAAAGGCACATCCTGCATTCTTCCAGCAAAAAAGTATCAAGTCTGTTTATTTTAAATTTATTTTACCCCCCCCCCCCCCTTTTCCGTTTTTTCCCAAATAAAAATCAAATGTTAGCTTGCTTACCTATGAAATCTTTTTCATACATTACCCGGTACTTACGTGCGAAGTTGCATCTTAAAATGTCTCAAATCTGTACGACATTCATCTTTTACTTGACATGGTTCTATTTTATAAAATTATAAGATTCTTGAATTTCTTGAGAAAAAAACTCTCGGCTGAAGAGAAGTGAAAAAAAGTTTGGTTAAACTGTATGGTATATGGCCATTTAAGTTTCTAATCTGTTTAATTTTGCTACCTCTTCTAAATGCAAAATGTACTACTTCTTTCTAGAAACGTCGTACAAGTCAGATACAAAACAAAGCTAACAAAAAAACAGGCCGGAAACAAACTGTCGTATAGTTTTTCTGCACTTGTAGTCAGGTCAAGGTCCTCGGCTATCGCCTCGGACCTTCACCTGACTACTCGTGCAGAAAAAACTATCCGGCAACAGTTGTTACCGGCCTGTTTCTTTGTTACCTTTGTATTGTATCTAATACTTAAATGGAATTTCAATATTTTGTGTTTTGAATATTCCTTCCTTTTACATTTCAGTCCAAGGTACAGCAAGGACACCTGAATGTTTGCATTTTAGTTCAAAAACACCGGGAAACCACCATATATCGCAAGGTATGTTTTATCCTTTTCCTTTTGCTAATTTGACTGGATTGGGTATTTTTTTTTTTATATAGATATTAATCGCAAATTTATGGATATGATTTGCAATACATCAATTTAAAACAAAAATACATATGGATTTATACAAATTTGAATTATTCCAGATGTTCTTCAATGTACCATATGGGCATTTTGAAGAAAAAAATATACCCATCAGTGGTGTTCTTTACTGAGAATTGAACAACCGAAGATGTATTGCTCAGTCTTTGTTTATATGCATTGTTTAATGAATAAATGTCGTGTTTTATATTTATACTTTTTTTTATTGAAGATGACCTTGTGTAATGAATTACTAGAACACTTTCTGATAACTTTTTTACACACAATATTCTCTTAGTAAAACTTAAATTAAATCTCAATGTTAGAACATTAGCTTTGTCTTAGCACACAACTTTTCCTAATGACGTCTAAAGTAAAATGGTATTACTGAAACATCATCCATCATGCGTTTACAAGATACATTTCATTTTTGAATCAGAAAAGCGTTAAATATTTATTTCAAGACTTCAAACATACATTAGAATTTCTGTTTTATTAAAATAAGTTTGACCTTTAATTGTTTTAAAATTAACATTATTGTTCTGTCTGCTATTTTATTGTTTCGTTATGGAACGGTGTCTTTACAATTTTTCATGACTAGAAAAAAGTGAATTGTTAAACTTAGTCTATCAAACATCTAATATCAGCAACAAATTCCCTTAGAAGACAAACACATATTAAAATTGGACGATATGACAAAAGACAACAACAAACGAGGTTCTTGACTAGGGACATGTAAAAGTATAAAAAAAATACCGGACTCCAAGGCAAATTCAAAAAGGGGAAGTCCATAAAAACTGAGAATATCAAACGTTTTCAATCAACAGATGAAGTGAAAAACAACTGTCATATTTCTGACTTGGTACAGGTATTCCGAGGAAAATGGTGGGTTAAACCTGGTTTTATAGCTAGATAAACCTCCCACTTGTATGGCAGTTGTTTATAGTTCCGTTATTTCAGGGGAGAAGGGGAGAGATGATTAAACACATCTCAATTCTACCTCATTAAATCTCGATTAGTGGCTTAACAAAAGGTACACGAGAGAACATACTTCTTCGGTCTCTTGTATATAGCAATCATACCATATCTCTTTATTTTATACACTATAAAATATATCGTATTAAAGTTATTGCAAGCAAAAGCCTAATCATATGATATCATGTCGCCCTGTTATAAAGGTTGTTGTTGTATTTATAAGATTTTACTACTACTCTTCGTAAATTTAAATTTAAATATTATCTTGTGCAATTCCAGGATCGAAATGTTTCCAAATATCCAGAAAAAAAAAACATTTAGTCTTTGCTTAAACTAGCGAATTGATTTAATCACAAAAAGACAAAAACAATGATTGATGAACAACAATATATTTACAACCTTTAACAATAAATCAATCGAATGAAACAGAAATATTTCCTAAATGTGTAAGCTTTTTAAATGACATACCCGTAAAACTTGGTGTGAAATATAATTTTTTCATGTAAATTCCTGCAGAGTGACATTGATAATACATCCACTATACATCTGTATGGTATTTGCATGCATGTAGTTCTTGTAGGCCACTTTGTTTAAATAAAAACGATATTACAAAATGTTCTTGAATAAAAAAACAAATAAAAATGTGACCCTGATATTTTGACTGTGACATGTTGTCAACATGGTCTTTTAAAACCAATAACTCTAAATAAAAAACAACTTTGTCATCAATTTTCGATCTGAATAATACCCTTTTCTCTTTAGGCTTTGGAAAAAGGATCCCAAAGCCAACTGGAACAGGTATGTTAAATTTACAGCATGTTTAATTTTGCCACTCAATATACCAACAGTGAACGGAAACCAATAACCCAAGGCACTCCGAAATTGTAAACAGGTTCGACTTCTACCGTAGCACTCCATGTGATCCCGATTATTACGAATGGTAAACAGGTCCTTCCGCAGAAGTATCATTTGTCGTGATCTTATGCATGCCGAATGGTAAAATATGTTCTACTTCTATAGTAGCACTAGTTGTGATATTAGGCAATCCGGAATTGCAAACATGTCATTCGTGTATAGTAGCACTCGTCCTGATCTTAGGCCCTCTGTGATGATAAGCAGGTCCTCCTTCTATTTTAGCACTTGTCTTTATTTCAAACATTTTGGAATAGTAAACAGGCTTACTTCTACAGTTACACTCGTCATGATCTTAGATTCTTTGGGATGAATAACAGGTTCTACTCCTACTATAGTAGCACTCTTCGGGATCTCACGAGCTCCGAAATGGAAAACAGGTCCGACTTCTACAGTAGCATTTGTCGTGACCCAAGCATTCCGAATGATAAACAGGTTCTACTGCGATAGTACCTCTCGTTCGTACCTCAAGTACTCCGCAATTGTTTACATGTCATTATTCTATAGTAGCACTTGTCGTGATCTCCGGTATTTTGAAACAGTAAACAGGTCTTAGACTTTCTGGGATGGTAAACATGTCCTACTTCTATAGTAGCACTCGTCGTGATCCTCGGCATTTGGGGACGGTTAACAGGTTTCAGACTTCCTGTCGTGATCTCCGGCATTTCGAAATTGTAAACAGGTCTTTGTTGTATAGTAGCACTCGTCGTGCTCTCCAGCATTTCGGAATTCCGGAATGATAAACAGATCCTACTTTTGTAGAAACATTAGCTATAGTGTTCATAATATGTAAATACCAGTTGTTAATTATATTTCCGCATGAGTATTAAAACCACAAAAGGAAGGCGTGGTTGTGTTAAAAGTAAAATAACAAAAATACCGAACTCCAAGGAAAATTAAAAACGGCAAATGGCAAAATCAAAAGCTCAAACACATCAAACGAATTAGAAACAACTGTCATTTTCCTGACTTGGTACAGGCATTTCCTTGAGTCCGCGAGAAATGGAATATAATTATCTATAATGGTCAACAATGTCATTTTGGCATTCGTTTAAGTTACGAGGCGAGTACGTTAACTTTATCACCAACAATCCGTAGTCCTAATAACCTGATAGTAAAATGGTAAAGCTATGGCTTAGTATTCGTTAAACTTTTTTCAAACTTCTAATTTGTGTATATATATATAGTTAATCTTAATGGCAATACATTAAAAATTTGTTTAGCCCTCTGCACTTTTAAACAAGGTCACAAATGTCATATTAAGGCCTTTTATAGCTGACTATTCGCTATGCGTTTTGCTCATTGTCGAAGATCGTACGGTTGCCTATAACTCCATGTTATTTGGATTCCGGTGAATAGTTGTCTCATTGGCAGTCACATCACATCTCCTTATATTATATTATATATTTGAAAATGTTTATCACATAAACACTGAATATTTGATCACTTTTATTTGAATGGTTCAACGTTTGGTGACTGTTTATCACTGAAAATACATTGAACTTGAAGAGGATAACTTGTTTTGATGTGAGTTATACATTGATTAACACCTGCATTTCAACAGTGACGGTCGGCTAAGAACTTATATTACCTGTTCTACCAATGTTTCATTCTATACATCATGATATCAACGGAAAGTCACCATGGGAATATCATTCTCCGTTGATACAATAATCCAGAGCTTGTGTCTCGTATCATGAAGGACTAAAAAGTGACAGCTGTAAAAAGAATAACTGAACCAAAGGTTTTTATTGTTAAAGTTGAAATAATCACTTGTACAGTTTTACCGTCTCCGATTGTACTTGTTGATAGGTACGAAACATCTTTGTCATAGATGACAATGCATCATTTCGGTTTTTCGAAGTGACAATTCAATCTGCTTTTGTCGCATGAGTTGTAGCAAAATATTTTCACATGACTGATAGATAAGTGCTGCTAGTCGAACATAAAATACTTTTCTCTTGGAAGGCATTGTCTCTTGAGTCTTTGTGAGTTTCATCGCAATCAAATTACTGTTTTCTGTGAAGTATTTTGTGCTCAATTGATTGTCGTTCGGTCCTTTTTCGTTTTTAAAAGTTTGATGTTTTCCGGTGAAGATGTATGACTGTTCTCTTATTATATTCGTCGTGTTTTGTATTTACCATAGCGTTGCATGTTTTCTTTTCACTTACTAGTTTCGATGTCCCCTTGGTATTTATGTAAATAGTAAATGTAGTCTTGTTCAACATATCAAATGTTTATTTTTCCAGGAAATGAATGTTCCCGTAAGTAGTTTTTAAATTTAAAACTTGATTCCACTTTTAAAATAAAATAAAAAAATAAAAGTTATCATAAAAGACTGCAGAAGCAGCATGGATACAAAAAGTAAAATAACAAAAATACCGAACTCAAAAGAAAAGTCGAAATGGCAAAATCAAAAGCTCAAACACATCAAACGAATGGAAAACAACTGTCATATTTCTGACTTGGTACAGGCATTTCAACAGTGCCTGCATTTCAACAATATATATTGTTTTGCATCATATTCAATAGTTTTTGCCTGTTGCCGTGGTTTCTTTGTCATTTTACCTTTGAATGACCTGTGAATTAAATACTAGAGATGACAATTTAGTCTTTTAACCCCCCCCCCCCCCCCCCCCCCCCAATAAAAACCCAAACAAACGAACAGAATTTCATAAACTGACCTGTGTAAGATGCTATTTGAAATAAGAAACATACTTTATATAGTCTGTATATGAATATGAGTTAAAAATTTTCTTTTTGAAATGCGGCAAAACATTCGAATCAGCAAAAAAATTAAAACCAATTACCCAAGTATTTGCTTTTTGTAGAATTAAGTCTGTTTATGCCAAATCTTATGTTTTCCTTTTATTTAAAGACAATCTTAGTCATTGGCTCTGGCATGAAACGGAACATTTTAGAACGTGGGCAATGAATTCAACCTTTGTGACAGGAGTAAGAGACGGAACTTTGCATCCAACATCATTTGGTAAATGTGTATATTAATATATATAGCACTGACTTAATAACTCAAGATGCATATAAATATAATTCATTAGTACCAGTACTCGATCAACCAAGAGTTGTATATACAGTCTTTTTTAGGATCTTTGTGTCATGCATACGAAATTTATACAGTACTGATGACTTAAATCTACATTATATAGAAAACAGGTGCTCACATCTAACGAAATATATTACAAAGGATGATTTTCTTGGCTTGAAATTTATAGTGTCAAGTCACTTTTAATATATTAGAACGTTCATATCTTCACATATTTTCATACTGGTAAAAAATGAACCTACTTAATTAAGGTGTTTGCTGATCGCCGACAATTGTACTGTTTGTTTTAAGTTTGTTGTTTAAGGAAATGGTATGGTGGGAGCCATACTTGTGCAACAATAGTTATACTCTTCAATAATTTAACAATTATGTTAAAGTTATTTATAAAATATTTGATGTTATAATCTGGACACTTTGGAGCTACAGTGTTGATTGTGGTGTTCATAATACGTCATAAAAATGTTGAAATTGACAAATTTCACTTACAACGTCTATCTTACAAATAGTTTTCGCGAAATTTGAAAATAACTACAGCCTTACCTCAAACGATATTTTAAGCACATCAATGTTCTTGTATACGACATCTTGTTGCAAAATATCGTTTCTGGTTAAAGCCGTTGCTCTTACCCTGCGGTTGTTTATGATTACAAAAAAGCATATTTCGACTGTTTCTAACATTAATTGAATGCAATTAGTTTAAAGCACTAATGCAAATGTTTAAGACACAATTTAAAACTATTAATACTGACATCTGACTCCAATATTTTAATAGCAAATTCAATTTCATTTTACAATTCAAGTGACCAATAACTTACCTTTATCATATTTTCTCCAGTATATTAGTACATACTATATAATTAATTGTTCACATGGCATGTTATGCCTGTTTCAAATGTTAATGTTTATTTATTTAGGTATATTCATGCTTCAAGATGCAATTTTCTGCTTAGAAATGTCCAAATCTTTTCAAGTGGCAGCAAATCAACTGAGTAATGGCTCGCTTAAATCGTTACTTGAACATGAAGTGAAATCTTATAAGCGGTATCTAAATTATTCATTATTTAAAGTATATATATATTAACTTTCATCCATTAATGAATTAATAACAAGATATAAAAGAATTGACATCTGGAAGTGTTCATTCTTAAAATTATGTATGTTCGGTATGTCTAGTTTATGACAATTTACTAGAGACTGCTTAGTACATGTCATATGAAGCAAGTTTATATTTTATCACAAAAACTGTCAACAGTGGCATTCACTTTTGGGTCTTCATTGCTCTTCAACTTCGTAATTTATTTGGCCTTTCAACTTTTTTTATCTGAGCGTCACTGATGAGTCTTTGTAGATGAAAAGCGCGTCTGGCGTAACAAAATAATAAACCTGGTATCATTGATAAGATTTTTTTTATAGAGCATACAACATAAAAATATAAGAGTTGTATTTCACTTCATGAAAATGTATGCTGAAATTTAGTTGAGAAAACCTCGACAATAATCACTGTTATTCTGTTTTGCTTGTTTTGCTATTGTCTGTCCATTTTCGAATTGCGATTTAAAATTTTACATTTGATGTTTTTCTGGTTAAACTGTGATATTGAGTTGCTATGAAATTGAGGTACATTGCTAATCTTCTTTAATATAAAGAATGAGACAAGAAAAAAACTGTTACGTTGTGTATCATTCACGTCTATTTCTAGGTGTGGTGATGAACTCTTAACACAATGGCATATTCGAAATGCACATGCCATTGTCGTAGGAGCTGAATGTCAGGAATACATTGATAATCATGTAAATGCGACTAGAGATGACCACCCAATTTATGGAATTGTAGCAGCCATTCCATGTCTACGTCTATGGCCATGGATAGGGCAGCAAATAAACTTACAAAACGTAAGAATATATTAATTATTTCTTTAAAACTTCAAAAAGTATTTATGATTTATAATATTGTCAATGAATATGAAAAAAAAATATTTTCAAGAACCTGCTTTCTAGTTTTGGCTTATGCATTTTATCTTCTTAAAATTATTTTAATAGATAATATGTTTAATAAGTCCAATTTGACAAGTTCTTACAAACACGATTCGAGGATATTGAACAGCCTATCATCTTAGAAATGTTTACCGACTCTTAAGAATGCTTCTCATGTCAAAAGTACTTATGTAGAGTTTAATTTGGTACTAGAATTCTTTATGTTTTTTTTATTATCATTTTGTATCGCGTTAAAACATTACATGATATTTATTGTAAGCCAGAGATCATGCATTTCTTTTTTATGCATAATTATTTCATGGACAAGCATTTTGGATATTCACACACAAGTCAGAGTATCAGGAATATTCACTAATAATCAGATCAGAGAACCAATTCATTCAAAATGCAAAAATATGAATAATTATCAAAAGATAGGCTAGAGGCATGTAGACGTATATTTAAGTTACATTTATAGATAATAAAAAATGAAAATGATACTTCAAGATTTACTACACAGCTGGATAATGTAAAATACATTTTGGCCTTTATTCGGTCCTTCTTCATAAAAGATATACAAAGACAGTCACCAATATCCTCAAAATATGGTAGTAAAATTTTATGTTTTGGAAGCATAAGCAGTTCCTGCTCCACTTTTGACACCTATCTTATAAATACTTTGTATGCTGTTTTAGAGTTTAAGAATGAATGTTAGTTTAATAAAATAGTACATTTACAGCATCAATATGGAGTTTATACAGACTGGGTGAATTATAACTTTGATCCAACCTACGACGGCTACAAGAAATTAGAAGTTATGACGAATGAATTCTACGCTAAAGGGCTAATAGACAAGGATAAAGCATTACATTATTACGCTAAAAGTATTAAAGGTGAAGCTGCCTTTTTCGATTCTGTGAAACCTTGAACACAATAAACAAGATTTCAGGCAACAACTTTAGTTATTTTTTTGGGCACCTTTCACTCAATCTAGGGAGTTGTTTAAACATTTTTGAAATAGGTTTATTTATTCCACAGCGTGATACATGTCAAATCTCAATGTATCGTCAGTTACTTATATATTTGTTGTATCTGGAGGTAGACTTTTTCAACAAGTTGTTGGCATTTCTATGGGAACGAACTGTGTGCCTCTCCTTGCCGACCTCTTCTTATTTTCATATGAGTCGGAGTTCCTTCAGGCACTTGTCATTCCCCCACCTTAGCAGCAATATACCAACTTCAGCTGCATATGGGATATACATTTCCAAACTCATTCGGTATTCAAAAGCTTTCAGCTGCTACTCAGAATTTACAAAACATCACGAGTGTCTGAACATAAAGTTGATGAAGAAGGGTTTTGTCAACGAACGTCTCGTCCTTTTTCTAAAAAAAAATACCGGAAGATACCAAGACCTTGTTGATAAATATTCCGTATCAACAGATAATGCATGATGGTCTTGAAGTACAGATTCTAGGTACTGACGTTGTTTATCATCTTAATTACGTGTTATAGTGTTCATTTTATTTGTCTTTGTATATTTGTAACATTTACTGTTAAGTCCATTTAATGTATTATCCTTTTGGCGTGGCTCGATATGTATACATCCCGCCATTGTGTTATTGTGCTATGGTCATTTTTTGTATTCTTGTCTTTCATTTTTACTTATGTGTTTTGTCTATAGAGTGTCCACATACCATTTTGTTTTTATTTGTTGACGTAGTTGGTTTGTTTTTAATGATTAAGATTTTAACACTAGTTGACTGCTGTATCCCAATTTTTGACATTTTTACCTATAATGTCTGTTTGTTTTGCTCACACGTTATTGTTGATATAATGACATTTTATGCGACTGTCATACAAGTGAGAGGTTAAACTAGCTATAAAACCAGGATTAATCCACCATTTTCTACATAAGAAAATACCTGTACCAAGTAAGGAATAATACAGTTGTTTTCCATTCGTTTGATGTATTTGTGTTTTCGATTTTGACGTTTGTTTAGAGATTTTCCGTTTTGAATTTTCCTTTGAGTTATTTTACTTTTCACATGCGAGAAGGTTGATCCTTGTGTTCATCTTTTTTCTTAATCGACATGTAAAAAAATCAAATTCTGTCATCATTAAGTATGTTGAATAGTCATGATAGTCGAAGATAATCTTTATTGAAATATAGACAAATCAAAATCATTTTTACTACTTCACATAGTGCAACATGATTTCAGGAAATAGTTAGAAGGTGTTATTGATTGATTGTTTGTTGCTTGCTTGCCTAACGTCCAGTGGCAAATATTTCATACATGCTTGGGGCTTAAACAAATCAACAAGTATTGCGAAAGTAAGTCGGCCAGGATTAAGGGCAGGAAATTTGAACTCTATTTTTAAAATTAAGATGTGTTGAATAAGATCTGATAATTTACCTTGCAACAGGCCAAGGATCTCTCAGATTTCCGTAACGTCCAGACAGCGTGGTATTCGCCTTCCATGTGGCATCGGATTTAACATCCCAATTCCGACCATACATGAATATATATCTATACACCCCGCACAGAAAAACGGACGCCAAGTTTTATCAACGTTAAGATATGATAATTATAGTAACGTAACTCTTGATCCAAATATATTTGAATAAATAAGAGAATGGGTTCTGTTTTAGAGTGCTAATGGCTGTTTCGTGGGTTGCTGTTGTTTTATCGTCACAATTCTTCTTCACCGACTTACGGTATTTTATTGCCCACATGGCATGCATCAACTTTCATATACTGACTGTGCGGTAAAAAATTTTTTGCTTAAAATGTTTTTTTTTGCAGTCGATTCTTTGGCATTTCAGTATACGGAAAACATTTATGGCGTAAATCAGCCTGCCATGGCATTCGACGACTAAATTAGCAGTTGACGTTGAGGTCGTAAACATGTCTCGCAAACGGCGTTGCGTAATCAAATTTTATTGACGTGGCGTTGAAACTACACATTGATCTGCTTATGGGTGGTCATTCACAAATCCCGTTTGTTGTAAGGACAGTAAGAGGAGTATCTGACGTAAAGCAACAGTACGTTCACGTATTTCTGCCTGCAATATTCGTATGGCCTGATTCAGATTTTCATTGCTCAGTCTCGGCAATATGAAAATGCAGCATTGTTTTATTGATTTTAGTGTGTTATTGAATGAAAGAATTATTTCACGAAGAAAAAACGTTCAAAAAAATCATTTATTGGTTTCAAATATCGTTTTAAGAAATTCGTGCGACTTCAATAATCCGGAATGTTCGGCCTCCTCAGGTAAGTTAGCTATTGAACGGAAATAAGTCTTGTAAGCAGGAGTAGTAGTTATATGAGGATCATTCATGATTTTGTAAAAAAAAATCACAAAAATGGGTGTTGCGTTTTAAAGTCCATCAGTACATATAATGTGGGAACAGTACAAGTACGCGGTGAATAGTAACAATTTACATACTTTTGTCGGAACAATCCATAAATTTGATTGAATCAAGTTTTAAGAAATGTCATGCGTGTGGGTAAAGATACTGAGAATATAATTTGGAAATCAGTGATTTTGAATGAATATTGCTAAAACTTCCGAGTGATTGAAATATTGATAAAGCATTAAAGTATTTGCAGAATATTTATAACTACATGACGAGCAACGAAAATAACATCGATTAATTACAAATGTAACTTATTGACAAGCGCAATATACTCTAAGACGCATAATATAATATAAAGCTAAATATGAAATTAAAAAAAAACATGCGCATGGGAATTGATAAAAGATTAAATGTACACCTTTAAAAGATATTCAAACATTACAATTGTATTCAATAGTTTACATCTACATCTAGTTAAAGTGATGACATAGACATTTTTACGTAGTAAAATAAATTTATTTTGAGATTATGTTTGAAATTTAACATGGCGAAAACCATTTAATACAAGTGTGTCATGTCGACACATAATATGTCTCCTCCACAGGAAACCCGTAAGAACAACCATTCTTGTAGACAGTGTAGAACGCTGCCGCTGAAAACACCAAGCTGAGAAAACCAAAATATCCACCATATACTAGAAACTGATAAAAAGAAAAATTATACTGCGTTATATTAGTTAATTACGGCAAAGCAAATGTAGTTATAGAATAAACAGAAAACAAATGGATAATAATTGGTCATAATCAAATATGAGCTGAAGTTATTCGCATTGTTCAAAATTTCTGATTGTTCAATTAAAAAAAGATAAATAAGGGATACAAGGTATTGTTTGTAACATGGAATTTGTATTTTTTCTTCATTTTTTAGATCTTATGCAAAATGAAACTTGCATGATTCATTAAATCAATATTGTTTATATATGAAAAAAAAAATGAAAAAAAAACGAATGCACAAAACAAAAGCAAAATAAAAAACTGAACCAAATACAGTGATTATAACTAAGGGCAAACACTGACGATAGGCCTGACTTTGAACAAAAGCATACAAATGTTATTGTTTTAATCTAGATCCTTGATATAAGAAAAGTATATACTAAGATGTATTATATTTTTGAGTTTATATATATTTGACCAAGTTTTAAGGAAATGGTAGCATGCCTTTTTTTACTATTTCATTTCCGTAAGATTTGGTTGTTTAAATAAAAGCGCATTGTTTTGTCCTTTTGGCGCTATTGATTTTTCGATTTCGACAAATCTTTAAGGAGCATTAGCTACGAGTTAGACAAAAATTTAAAATACGATTTTTTTTTTGGTTTCAAGTATTAATAAAAGCGGAATTTTGAAATAATATTTCGTTATAAGCAGTTAGTTTGGACAAAATTTATCAAATAAGCTCAAAAACATCACTTGCAAGTGAATAATTAGACCTCATGTGAATCCGTATTCATGTGAACTTCACATTGAACCCCTTAGCCAGAGATAGGTTACACATGTTATAGGCGTGCTTAGATATTACAATAAATAAAAAGTAAACATTAAAAGTGAAACAAGGGTGAACCATTTCGTTGACTGATTCGATCCACAAAAAAATCATTCTTATACAGGAAAAAACGTCGATTAACATATTTTTCAACCTATAAAATGAAATCAAACAGACCTAGAAAAATCCAATTGCACGTGATCGCTATCTATTTATATTAACATTTATGTTTATAACGGGTTATAAGACCGTCGGCAGTCTTCGGAGGCCATCTTGGTGGTTAAAAGATTGCGTCTAGACTATAATACACACGAAATGCTGATATATAATATATATTATATATGAGAATTTGAGTCAAATCCATGAACATGAATTTGACAGCTAATGCCCCTTTAATGTTAGTTAGGACAATTAGGATAACGACATTGTTATATATCAAATGTAATTCTGACGAAAGAATCAGTTTGTGAAATATGCATAAATTAGTATACACTGATACCTACCGTGTTCACACTATGAAATATACTCCCAAGAGGAAACCAGGATTGTTTAACACGAATAATGACTCTGGTTTATACTAAATATAATTTAAACACTCTTCTTGATTCACCTTAACAAAACAAGAAACGTATGCACCAAAATTGTTGCAAGCATCTGTCAACGGGATTTGTTTACGTTCTTTGCATCATAAATGCATTTTTCAGTCTTAGTTTTTGGCGAAAATCCTCGATGATTCGATGATAATCGGCACTACGTATACCCATCTTCATACCTGCATCTTGCTCTCTCCAGATATAGGTTGTAGGATTATTGGCTCCTCATTTCTTCTTGTGAGACTGCATTGTATTTGCTTACATCTGATTTTGGTGCTTCGTCTATGATTTGGCATCTCGTATTTCGAATGACGTAAGAAAACTTCACGTGTCATTATAACAACCTCAAATAACTCAGCTGCAAATCCAAGGGTACGAGGCAATTAACCCGTGTTCGACACATATCGACTCCGCCTAAAATAAAGGGTAATTTTAATCTGGTTTTGCTCCGGATGGGTTCGAATCCGGATTTAATGGCATAGTGTGAATGGGGTGTGGTATTGTTTATTTGAAGAGAAGAGGACTTGTTTGGTCTTTTTTAAATACATTTGTGCTATTAAATTAATCCGAGAGATGATTCAAAATGTAGTAATTAAAATACAGACTTCTGGGATATACTTTTTTTTTATACAAAATGCGCTATTCAAAGCATTTAACATGAGATAAAGATATTCTGAAATACCTGTGTTCTCACATCTACATCAAGACCAGCTTTATCTACCACAATAACTGTAAGTATTGTTTCCACTACGAGAGCCATGAACATGTTAACTCCAAACACAAATCCATATCTCTGTTTGGTGAGGGATTTTGCAATCTGCAACCTTTTACCGGAAAAATGAAAAAAGTACATTAGGTGGAACCAGTTTAAAACAATTTATCTCTTTCCAGAACAGGCTTTGGCACCTGTTAAAATGTTTAAATCCGCTGCATGTGTGCACCTGTCTTAAGTCAGGAATCTGTTGTTCAGTGGTTGTCTTGTGTGTAAGTGGTTCATAAGTGTTTCTCGTTTCTCGTTTTTTATATAGATTAGACCGTTGGTTTTCTTGTTTAAATGTTTTTACACTAGTCATTTTTGGGGCCCTTTATAGCTTGTTGTTCGGTGTGAACCAAGGCTCCGTGTTGAAGGCCGTACTTTGACCTATAATGGTTTTCTTTTACAAATTGTGACTTGGATAAAGAGTTGTCTCATTGGCACTCATACCACATCTTGCTATATCTAATGTTGTAGATTCTAAAAGACCCTGTGTGACCTGTCTAGTCTACAGAATGAAATGGCAGATGACAACATTAATCATATCAGTGCCATAGTATTTGACTGTGTTAATTAGTTAATGCGCTCAAAGTACTGTATACATAGTAAATATAATATGAAGGTTGATTTCTTTTAAAATAAGTAATCACTTGATTGTACACTTGTAGACATTTAGATAGAAGCTACAAATATGGTTAAAGTACAACATATATAGCCTTTTTCAAAAGTCGCACACGACCAATCGTTGCCTTGGTGTGGCCCTCCTCTTTCAAAATGGTGAATCTGCAACTGGTAGACGTTCTTTTTTTCTTTAAGGATTATAGGCATATGGTTATTAATGAATGAAATGAAAGTTTAATCACTTTTCCCAGAATAATTGACGTTAAACTATCTACATAGGACGGCGTTTATGTGATATGTTGAAATCCAACACTTTGAATCTCGAACAGTACTGACAAGATATTAATTGTTGAATAAACAAAGATACCAAGGAAGCAATCAAAAGATAGAAGGTGATGATAAACAGACAACACACAAAAGAGACAAAAAACTATTATAGTACAATCCACAAAACTAATCAATTGTTGAGAAATACGAACTCTAACAAAAAGCCAAAGTGAATTGGGGACTCTAGAAGATACGCAGTGAGCATCTGTTGAATTATTATTGGGACTGTTGAAAACTTCGATGTCATATTTCTGCTTGTTTGAATGGTAATTTCAGATAAGTAAAGGCAACAGTTGTATACCGCTGTTCAATAGTCATAATTCGAATTAAGCGAAAACAAATCTGGGTAACAAACTTAAACCGAGGAAACACATTAACTATAAGAGGAAAACAATGGAACAATAGAAAAACACTGAACTGCAATAAAATCAAACGCCAACATACTTAGAAACGGACTGCTGATAACAACTGTCATATTTCTGACTTGGTACAGGACATTTTAAGAAAAAAATGGTGGTTGAACCTGGTTTTATGGCTAGCTAAACCACCCGCTTATATGACAATGTTAAACATACCGCTAACATGACAACACTACGTGACAGGAATACAGTACAAACAAACGCAAGGACACTCAGCACAGAGAAATACATAAATTAATGATAAAATAGTACATTACAACATGTAAACCGCAGAATAACAACGGACACCTCCCATGAATTTACGACAGCACACCAGGACAACACAAACGAAATATAAACTGCGTGTCACATGAATGGATCAACGCCACAAAAAGTGACGTATTTTTTGTGACGTTTATATTGTCACAGGTAAATTTCTAAAAATAGAATAGATTTTTTTTTTTTATTTACAGGTACAAGAATATTAAATTGGGATTGAGTTTGTAATGGTGTTATATTATGTATTTTCTAACCATGACAAGAATATTAAAATGGAATTGTGTGTGCAATGGTGTAATTATTTGTATTTTCTAACCATGTCGGTTTTTCTTCCAATTCAAAACTCTGTATTAACAAAAATATCCTGTGCATATAGTTGCTTTAAACTTAAAATCATATAAATGAAATAGCTAATTTTTTATCTTAACTTTTACATACAGAAACTTAAATTGATTAAAAAATGATAATAAAGCAAAACGAATAAATAAACTGGGGTTTAAACGAAAAAGTCCAAATTTTTGTCACAAAATAATCATATCAGATACTATGTACTTTTTGCCCTTTGTGTCGATCATTTGAGTCAAATCCTTTTCAGCTGTTTTTTACTGTGGGTTTTTATGATGTTGTGCTGTTACACTACTGTCCCAGGTTAGGATAGGGTTTGGCGCACGCTAACATGTTTCATCATGCCACATTCATCGTTTGCCTGTGCAATCCTAGTCAATTAAGATCGGTGTACCTTGCAACTAACAACTTCAGTGCTGGTAATCTCGTGGTATCCTAAATACACTACTTTGATTACTACTTTGATTACTTGGCTACCGAGGCCTCCATCATGTTTGATTTTGATCGTAATTGGTGATAGGTTATTCGAGAAACACGTGTTTTCCACAATGAATTCGATAAGATAATGTCTTAAGTTGTGATCATGTATGCCTTTTTCAGTAGCATTTGATCAGCAGATTTAGTGGGTAATATAATGAGTACGAACGATGGTGAAAATATGTTTATTTGATCCATTTCATTTTCATTTTCATTCCAAGGTTTTGCAAGGAGTCAATTCATAGTCTCAAAGAGAAAAGATAGATTGTAATATAAGCCCTTGTTTATTCACTCACAAAGATCAAGGTGATACCTCTGAAAATGACTTTACCTGAATTTGCTTTGTTTGCAACATGGTGATTTTTGTCTCAAATCTTAAATGTTATTACCTGTGTCTAGAGCCTATCAACTACCTTGAGGATTCCGATCAGCCTTATGTATTGTGATGATATCGAGGATAATAAAAGGACATATAACTCATGTTAGAGTTGGTAGAAAAAGACAGATATCACGAGGTAAAATATAATATGAACATTTGTCTAACAATTTCTGTTGGTTTGATACGTGTTTTTTTTTTTTTTTTAACGTAATAAGGTGAGAATGCCAAAAAATAATCATTTAAAAGCAAAGCAGTTCAACCAAAAGAAGCGGCCTGTATATAAGTGTCAAAACTGCCTAAGATCAGCATCGCACGGGAGCTGCTACCATGCGTTGAAGTTTAAGTATAATTACACATTTTTTTATTTGAAAATATACCACTGGAATAACTTACGTTGCTAAAGATATCACAGTATGATATGTAGCTCTGAAAGCACTATACAATGCATATGACGCCCAAATGTTGGTAGATTTTGCCAAGACAATAACAGCAGCAGTGTTGAAAACACATACAGCGGCCATGATTGTTTCTGATAATCCTCGGCGTGACCAATTTACAGGTAAAAATCCTAAGGTTACCACACTCAAGGCACCTTTTGAAAAAGAAGCATATCACTAAATTTGAATTGTATTTAAACATTATATGATAATTATTTATTGCAATTATACATTCACATTCATGTCTTTAAAGCTGTTTGATCATCATGATCAAATGTATTTACTTCTGAAAAAAACCTTCATCTGGTATGCCGAGACCAAAAGTTTGGGAAGAGAAATGCATAAAGCACTAACTTAATGTGTAAGCAATTTGAACTTACTGATAAGTGTTCCGAACGCCTCTACAGCTCCATTGTAAATTGTTCCCTTGTTATCCTCAGGTGTTATCACTTCCCAGAGGTTCTGTATATAATTTCCAACTTGTAAATTTCCACATGATGCAAAAGTCCACCAACATGACCAAGCTATCACAGATTTATCTGAATATGCTGTCTTTATTTCTTGCCATAAGAACAGTAAGCCGTGGTGAGATTTGATTCTCCGATCATGGGAGCTTTCCTGACTGACATCTGATTGAATACTGCTTTTCCAGTTATTTGGGTTTTCTTGAATAGTTGCCAATTCGACCTTGTTGTTTGAATGCATTTCATTTATGGTTTCAATTTGTTTCTCGCGAGAATGAAAAATGTCGGAATGGTTAGACCTTTTAAATGTAAGAGCTAGAATAAGAGCAAGTGAAACACTCACGAATGATATTATATTTAGCTGCTGGTAATTCATTAAATCAAAGGACACAAGCAATTGTCCAGTCAGGTACGCAACAAAACGACCAACAAGAATAGCGGCTCTAGTAAAACTTGTTATTATCTTGTAATGTTCATTTGAAATCATAGCAAATAGATAAGAAAAGTACCCAATTTCTGTTGCCGTTGCTAATCCATATATGACTTGCATAAACTTCATAGCTAAAACTCCTTGTGCCCATAGAAGGAGCGCCCAAGTGCCAACATAAGCTAAACCTGCAAAAACAAAGCGTATTATATGTTACATTCTAACAGTAATATGACAGAACGCAAAAAGATAGTTAACCAGAAGTCTCAGTAGTTTTTCGATGTTCAAATTTCACAAGACCATTTTAAAATTTCATACAGAGCGAAACCAGGTGCTTTTAAGATTAATATAATGGATGATCAGGGTCTTAAGGCAGTATTTAGTTCCTATTAATTTCAATGCATCTCGAAGTATTTTGACTCAGAAAGAAGGGAATTGGTTTTGAAATTCTTCTGAAATTGATCTTAATACTAAGAAAATTGGTAATTCATGTTAGTTTTTACACCAAAATCAAGCCATCCGCATATACGATATCTATATGTATTTCATTGTGTAGACCATTCTATAATTAATAACCTTTAATCTTGTGTATCTTTTGAGTTTAGTGTCTTGAATATGATGCAATTCAGTTAGAATTACTAGATAAACATGATGCTAGGATGTAATATAGAACAGTACCTCCAACAACTAACATCGGCATATAGCGGAGGTAATCAGTAAGAAGGAATACAGGAACCAGCCAGACTAGGTAAGAGTAAGTCCAAAAAGGATAAACTTCATTATTTACTTCCTCAACTGTAAGGTTCTTCCATGGTCCGGTAAGATAAGCTGACAAATAGGCTTCAGAGGGTCGGTATTCTTTCAGAAATCCATACAAACATGCCATGAACGTCAAAACTTTCCAGTGCATCTTTCGTCTATCATTCAAAAATACTGATAACAGAAACAAATGATATCTTTGATATGCACTTAAGGCTATCTATAACAAAACAAATAGATCCCTGTTAAGGATGTTTGCTCCTCATGTTTTTGATATTTTGCCAGATATTCGGAATCCTCTGGTTTTATCCATGTAGTACCATTAAAAAATTTCTCCCGCTAACCTCAACTTTTCTTTTCATAATTTTCTTTTATATAGTTTAAAAAGCCATATTTGAAAATGCTATAAAATCCTAGTTATTTTTTCATAATTTTCGAAAGAAAAAGGGTGCCAATGTAAAATGTATGAAAAATCTAGAGAGAATTATTTCCCGCCAAATTTTCAATGGCTTATATCTCGAAAACAAGCACACGGACCCTTCATTTTTTTCTGCTTTTTTAGTTCCTTTATTTATATACTATCAATTTATAACAGTCTTTTAAAAAGCTTGTTATTTTGAAACAGAGTAGCGAACATCCTTAATAATGTGTATTGCTGCAAAACATTTTAACTAATTGATTTGTATGAAGTGTTTTTTTTTTCTCGTTCTTTTTTTAATAGTCTGTTCATTAAGGTTATTTGATCTACTGATCAAGATTGAGATCTCAATACATCCTGTAAAAACTACAGGTTTCTATGATTGTTCCACGTCAAGAACTTCGACATTATATGTCATTTTTCAACTAGAACATTTGGATTCGATAGACACCAAAATAAACTGGCAAAAAGATTATCCATTAATATACATTTACTAACGTGTGATTCAGGGAATATAGTCTTACCTATTTTAGAGTTTAAGTGCGTCTATTATTCTTTGGTAAAAATAAATCATCCATTCCTTCCGAAATAAATAAATTAAATACAAAAATACAAGTATCTACTTAAATGACCGAATTAATACTACTGATAAAACGGTTTTATCAATCGAAAAAGGCTCAGTTTGGGATATGTGAAATGATCTAGTTTTATTTCTAAAGAATAACAAATAAACAAATAAACGTGAACAGATGTGCTCAAGTTTGTTCATTGTGTGATTCATTTCATTTAAATATCGGACAATGACAGAACTTTATTTTTTTAAATCAAGAAGTAGTAAATGAATTATTATGAAAATGAAGAAAGTATGTCCCAAATGATTGTTTACATTTCTAAGTATCTAAGAAGCGCCTATCTTAAGTACAAAACCTGTATACATTTATGGCGGGTATTAAGTGCATATAATTTCAGATGCCATCTTACTGGTTTTTAAAGGCATTTGATTAACTTGATCAGTCATAGTAGTGACATTGTATCTGTAACCTACACATTTCGGAGCCTAATGATGAACACCAAAAGAATCAGTATGAAAACAACTCAATCTAATTTCAGTAAGACTTGTCAGGGAAGACATATATTCGTTTATGCACATCTAAGAATGATATACAATAACTTTTGAAATTTTACCGGCTGTGATGGAATTGTGCTTATAGTTTTTATGGACAGAATAGGAAGCCGACGAACAGGAAAAAAAAATACATTCATAAGCATGAATAAGCATGCGTTGCAAGATCCAGGCTATATGTATCATAAAAAACAAAAAGAAGATACAGGAGAAACATTTAAAAGTCATAAGTCGTGATGACAAAGCCATAGCAAAAAAACGAAAGACGACAAAAAGCCAAACAGGTTCACAAAACACTGCACAGAAAACTAAATATTGAGCAACACGCACCAAACTAAAAACGGGCTTCTGATATCAGTTGCTCCGGAAGGGTAAGCAAGCTTAAATTTGAGTATTTATTTCCTGTATGAATGCACGCACTGAACGTTGGTATATCAAATGATGACTCAATCATGCATACATATTGAGGGATTGTGCTTGATTTTCATATGACGAAGACATAATATTTCAACCAGTTAAATTGAGGTCTAGAGCTGGCATGTCAGTAACTGCTAGTAGTTCTTTGTTAATGTATGTATCATTGTCATTTTGTTTAGTTTCTTTTGTTACCTTTTCTGACATCGGACTCGGACTTCTTTTAAACTGAGTTTTACTATGCGTATTGCTGTGTGTTTTTTTTTCTACATTGGCCAGAGGTATAGGGGGAGGGTTGAGATCTCACAAAACTTGTTTAACCCCGCCGCATTTTTGCGCCTGTCCCAAGTCAGGAGCCTCTGGCCTTTGTCAGTCTTGTATGATTTTTAATTTTAGTTCATTTATATGTGTTGGAGTTTAGTATGACGTCCATTATCACTGAACTAGTACACATTTTTGTTTAGGGGCCAGTTGAAGCACGTCACCGGGTGCGGGATTTTCTCGCTGTGTTGAAGACCAATTGGTGGCCTTCGGCTGTTTTCTGCTCTTTGGTTGGGTTGTTGTCTCTTTGACACATTCCCCATTTCCATTCTCAATTTTATACATAATACGAAAGTAAAGGCACTTTCATTAATTAGATACTATCAGCAATGACATGCACCTGATGGATAAGAGGTAATATGCTTATCCATCAGGTGCATGTCATTGCTAATAAGTATCTAATTAATTACAGTGATAATTACCAATGAAATACTATAAAATCTCAAAGGTGGATGCTCAAAATTAATGAAATTTGCACATTGGTAAGGGAGTCAATGTCAGCATTCAGTGAAATCCAACAAGGAGCGGGAAACACTCAATCATTATGGACAATCAACAAACCCTAAGTCAAAAGACAGACAACACCATCACTTACGTATCAATATCAAGAAGTAAGAAGTACAAATATTCACGATAAATGTTAATTAGAAACAAAATGGAAATTCTTTATAAACAGCTTTACCTTTCACTGAAGCAATAAGCTTAAATGTTTTACCAGTTGATCAGTTTGTAGAGGTGGATTCAAACTGCAATTGGGTTAAACTTTTAAGCAGTTGGTAGTGTGAAAGGGCAAAGTCTCCTAAATAAGCATGGTAATGAGTTTTTATAAATGTTCACAAGGTACGTAAAATTAGCAACTAATATGTAATATAACCACCCAACCACTATGTTGATGGCTGTGAAATAAAAACAATGCTTACGATCCAAGTCTAGTTATTTAATGTCTGTGTCATTACTGTCAATTAACAACAAAGTTGGGTACTCAAAATTCTTAAAGAAACCAATAGTGATATTGAGAAGTATCGGAAATGTCTACATGCATCGCTATGAATGCAAACTTCAACCCTAATGACTATCAGTCCCCGAGGGTATCATCAGCTCAGTAGTCAGTACTTCGGTACTGACATGATTTATTATAAACCTTTCTTAAAGGGGCATTAGATGTCAAATTCATGTTCACCAATTTGAGTCAACTTCTCATTTTTGATTTATAACATACTGAAACGTATTTCCAAATTACAATACATCTGAAATAATTAATTAACAATGCATGGACTCGATAATATATGTCAGCATTTCGTGTGTATTTTAGTCTAGCATCTAATTAACCATCGAGATGAAGTACACAAAACGCAACAAAGAAAACTAAAGACTGAGCAACACTAACCCAACCAAAAACCGGGGGTGATCTCAGGTGCTCCGGAAGGGTTAGCAGATACTGCTCCACATGTGATACCCGAATAACTTGTGGTACTAACATACAGATCTTAGCTTATTAATGAATTCATCATAAGACATTGACAAAAGAGAAAAGAGTAAAATAACAAAAAATACCGAACTCCAAGGAAAATTCAAAAAGGAAAGTCCCTTGTCAAATGGCAAAATCAAAAGCTCAAACAGATCTAACGAAAGGAAAAGTACTGTCATATTCCTGACTTGGTACACGCATTTTGTTAGGTAGAAAATGGTGGATCAAACCTGGTTTTATAACTAGCTAAACCGCTCATTAGTATGACAGGAAATGGTCAATGAAAAAAACCTTCAATAAAACGGTTTTATGTTTGGTATCTTTATTTTCAAAGACTTTTTAGGCTGGTATGGAATCAAAAAATGCAGCCTCTTTTTCCATACTCTCCGAGTAGTAGTGTAAAGCTTTATTCTTGTCGATTTTGCCTCTAGAATAGTAATCATCTACAAATGCTTCTAATTTCTTGTAGCCGTCATCAGTATGATCAAAATCATCTCTCACCCAGTCTGTATAGGCTCCAAAGCGATGCTGAAAATAAATTAAATAAATCAAATGAAATTCTAAATAAAGTAAGATATCAAGCATTTTAAACTGCCATTTCGAGATACAACATAGTAAATTAGATCGCAGTTATTATATCTGCATAATTGGCAAATATCATATGTTAATTCCTCATCCATCGATTTAAACATATACAGGAATAGACAACTTTTTACTATGTCAACAAAATAAATAATGCAATTATGACTTTCAGGATACAACTTAATTTATTAACTTGTGAATACCTAAAATTGGTTCTTCAAGCATATCTTAAAAGTAAAATCATAAAAATACTGAACTCCGTGGAAAATTCAAAAAGGAAAGTCCCCAATCAAATGGCAAAATCAAAAGTCAAACACATCAAACGAATGGATAACAACTGTCATATTCCTGACTTGGTACAGGCATTTTCTTATGTAGAAAATGGTGGATTGAACCTGGTTTTAAAACTAGCTAAACCTCTCACTTGTATGACAGTCGCATCAAATTCCATTATATTGACAACGATGTGTGAACAAAACAAGCAAAAACAATAGGAAAACATGTCACAAATAGGGGTAAATAGTCTAATTCGGTAGGTCACATTCGTGAAAAGGGAACGGGATTGAATTTACGACATAAGGAACATATTCGATATCATCTGTGAAACGGATATTCCATAACGGTCAACCAACTCGTGATGGCGGCCTCCGTAAAATTTACAAAGTGATGATTTCAACTTTACTATTTGGAACTCTTGGTTTAAAAAATGAAAATTCACACAATTGGGAAGCTGAAATCATCTCTTTTGCCGTAAAGTTTTGTTTTCAACCGACCTTCATAGTCAATTTCTAGTTCCATATG